TCTATTCTATCTTGTATACTAGCTAGGTTTGTGCGATTCCGTCTTAATTATTCCTAGAACAATTTTTTATTAAGAGTATTCTAGTTATCAAGCCGTCGAATTCAATATCCTGAATCCCAGTTTTTGATCCTTCGGAGTGGTCCACGGATTTCTTCTCCCACCAAGGCCTCCCAATAGTCAAGTCTATGAAAGCCGGCACAGCCACATGCATGAGAACCGGGACTGGCTTATTATAGAAGAGTCCTTTTCTTGTGTACAAGTTTTTGTATGAAGCCATTTGTGTCTCCAGACGAGTTGTGTTCTTGTTTTGATCCTGAAAGACATGCTACTGGTTTGGGGATCTACTCTTCTTGCTACCATTTCTGGTAACGCAGTTGTGTCAATGATGATCTTATCTGATTCGAATCACAACCTGATCACAATCTAAATATAGACTGGATGCTATATTAGAAATATGGTTAGTTTACGGTTACGTCAATGGACGGATTCAATTCCTCGATCTGTTTTGTATTTGGGTGGAATTGAAACCAGATCTTGTGATCTGACCTACGGAGTGCTAACCACTGCACTATGGACCCGTAGGTCTAAAATAAATTATAATATATCATTGTTTTAATTATTTTTATTAAATAAGTTAATATACAAATTAATTTAGTTTTAATAAAAATATTTATTATTGATTGAATCTGACAAAAAAAAATTTAACAATAATATACTGTATATAAATTATTTTATCATATTTTAACATCAATTTTAGATATTTGAAATTAAGTTTTTTGGATTTTAAAAATTTTTTTTTATAAATTATAAAGTAATAAGTAAGAGTTTAATCAATTCTGTTTTTTTTTTAATTATTAAATTAAAAATGTATATTATACAATAGAAATAGTATATATTTTTATTTTTAAACTTAAATATAATTTTTTTATGAAGATAAAAAAACTTTTTTTAAGATGTTCCATGAGACCAATAAGATATAAGCAACAAGCTTTCAGGTAATGAAAAAGCTACTATTTGTTCAATCTAAGATTTTTCTCTTCTATTATTCCAGTTAGAAAAGTTCAAGACTAAGGTTTTCTTTTTATTTCAATTAGGCAATAAGATTAAATAGTCTCTAGTTCATACTAAGCTTCAACCTTTTGGTTATAGTTAAGAATAAATTTCTCTAAATGTTATTGAAGGATATCACAAGTGATGAGAATTCTTATCACTTTTAAAACCCTTCCACTATTATAAGGCAAAAAGATTATTGGGAAATCTAGTCTTTTAGATAATAGAAGATGTATATTAGTAAAATTCTTTTAACTAGGTATGGCTGTTGAAAGGTATTATATTGAAACAATATAATCTAGTTTTTACTAGGTTACTAAGAATCTAAAATCTATTATAAATCATTTTTTTATTGTAAATAAACAAAAAATCACTATCCAAAAAAGATTGGAATCAAGTATGTTCTGGAAATAAAGGCTCACACTAGGTAATAAGTCTTCTTAGATAATATATGAAAAAAAAATCAAGATCAAGAATGGATAAGTTCCTCAAATAGTCAGAAAAAGAAAGGATATTCCAATTGAGCATTTCTTATAGAGAAGAAATCTTAAGAAGCAAGTCTTTGGAAGAAGCTGGAAATTTTTTTTCAATTTTTATCTTTTTATTTTCTTGTTGTTTATTTAGACATTTTTAGATATCCCCTTTTTCTTTTTTTTTACTCATCCTTTTGTAGTTTTTTATATTTCAGTAGTTTAGTCAGATATATGGCAGTAATAACTTGCTAGCATTAATATAATGAATTAGAAAAGTTTTTATCCAAAAATATTATGGAGTGAAATATTGTTCCCAAGGCTAAATTTAGAGGCTTTTATGCTTACAATGAGTTAGTTAGATTAAAATAATATTTAGTTATAGTATTGTTATGGGTCATGTGGATAACGTGATTTACGTGTAATGGTCTAAATCCAAAAGCCTAAAAGTTTGGCATGAAAGATTAAGTATCGCGAGATAAGAAACTATAGATAAGGCTCAAGTACTGATAAAGGAACTATGTATATCTGAAAAGTATAGAAAGTTTAGCAAAGCTTAGGGTTAGTATAGCTGATTATAAAGTAGATAGCCATTGTTAGATAGAAAAGTATAAATAGCTTACCAATGTATACCAAAAAAATAGAGCTGAAAGTGTTAGGAAAAACAACTCTCATTGAGAATAGAGATAAGAGTTAGTGATTTCTCAAAAAAACAGAATGCAATAAAGAGATACTTACCTTTGGCCAAGTCAATCACTATGCCTTTGCCTTTCCTAAGTGTTCTTTATAGGAGGCGTTCTCTTCTTTGTGAGTATTTGTGAGACATTTAGGTTACTTAAGGCACTACGAATTAGTGACAGACTTGCCGGGATAGCTCACGACAGTATGTATCATGCTGTTCAGATAAAAATATACTTATATTTTTAATTGATTAATAAATCAACAATCTAGCTTAGCTATGAGTACTTAAAAAAATAACTTTTTTATGAAGATATATTTTAATACAATTATAATTGATACAGTGTTAATTGTAATATATAATAGCTTGTTTTTTCAATATCTATTTTTTGTAAAACATATTTATTATAAAATGACATAATTTCAAGTAAAGTTTAATATATTTTTTATATATCATCTATTAAATAAATTATTATACTTAAATAATATTTCAAAAAATATATTATTATATTAATTATCATTGATATTCTTGACAAAATTATAGTTAAAAATCTTTTGATTTCATTGTAAAATATCTTTTATAGATCCATTTTGTCAACATGGAAACCTATAATGTGAATCAAATTTTGAATAAATTTTGTAAAAAACTTATTTTGGATAAATAAAAATGATTGCTAATCAATTTATTTAACCAATCCACTTTCGACTTATTAGAGCTAAAGTTTATACGTATTGGTTACTATTTAGTTTATTATAGCATATCGAATATTTATTAATGATCAATTAACAATTCCAGTAATACCTATATTATTTTTAACAAAAGGTATTAAGATTTATAAAAAGATCGAATCCTTAAATTTGTTATTATTAAATCATAGGATCGATTAACAACCCTAGTCTCGCCCTTTTTGTTCTATTGAACTAAAAATGAAAAACCATTATTTGTTGATGACATAATCGCAACTCTAAAACTGTGTCTATTGGTTTTTATTCTTTGCCACACTAAATACCTCCAATTCCTCAGCAATAAAGCTATTTGTATCCAAAATATGTTGATCGTAAGAATATTTATCGCATGTTCCATTTTGATCACTGTTAAGTATTAAATCACCATTTCCAAATCGTATCATAACATCTTCCTGGTCACATACACCGCAAGAACCGTCAGATCGACCGATTCTAATGGTTCCAAAATTATTTTGACCGCCCAAGTAAAATACGAAATGATCGCTATTATTGCTCCAAGAGTTACAATCATACTCATGAGACCGATAAAAGCCAGAGTCATTCCATTCACTATATTCATCATAATACTCGTGCTGCATGGTAAGATTATAATCATAGTTACAATTACACAGGTTAGAAACATCCCCATTCCACCCGTTCGCATTAAATCCACCAATTATATTTCCAGAATCCTTTACTTTAATAACTACAATCGCTTGCCCTTGACCGTTAACTTTTTGGCGAAATGAGTCATCATCAAATCCGTCACGAGTTCCGCGGTAAAGGAGAGCAAAGTGATGTTGTTTTTCCTTATTCATAGTCTCAAAAGCATCTCTTTTTTCAATCCAATTGGAAATGATATTCGCGTGTCTTCTTGATAAAATTTTAGAGTCTTTAATAATAGCACTCGTGCGTGCAGGAAGTATTTCTTGTTTCGGTTCTGTTTTTGCCATTAAAAAGGACATGGTATCTTCAAAGATTGATTCCGGCAGAACTTTTTGAAACGGGCGAACTTTATTAAAGAAGTCCTTCGAAGAGATTTCGTAAAATCTAACATACAGAATAAAAGGATTCATCGTTTTCTTTAGATCCTTAAAGTTTTTATCCGAAAAATTCTTCACATCTGAAGATTTCATCCCTTCGATCTCTGGGGTTTGGTAGATTCCCCATTTAATAAGATGTTCCCAGATATCTGCTTCTTCTATTATTAGCTCATCGCATTTGATTAATTCCAGGAAAATGTCCTTATCAAGAGAAAGAAAATCTTCGGAGTCAAAGAAAGGCTTTGGATTATCGCAAATGGATTTTAGGCAGTGATCTTTAAGTTCTTTGCAGCTGACAAGCCGAAAAATAGTATGTAAGACCTTAATAAAATTTTGTTCGAGCCAGGAATCCGTGTGCTCAATAAGGTGATTTTGAACATGTTCGGTTAATTCACTCAGAAGTAATTCATCTGATGCAACCAGGAGGTCAAGAATATCAAAGTTAGAAACTCCGGTTAGATTGAGAACTCCGGAATAGATATATCTAGCCATAAAATTATATTATTATACTCAAGATCTTTGATATGTAGTACTAAAGAGGTAAATTCCTTAATTATAGCTTACTTAAGAATAACAGTAAAAACGGTAGGAGAAATATTCGGTTTGTTAAACGAAATAATTCCATTCTTCTTAGTAGCGGTCCCTTGATCGGAAAGAACCTTTTTGAAATAAGGTGAACGGGCTCGTAAAATCGTAGAATGGGCGAGGAATTCCCGAATCATTGTACCTTCTCCAACTTTGATAGTAACGTTATAATCATCTGCTTCTTCAAGAAGCTCAGAGAATTCTTGTGATAAGTTGGTATAGAAATTTGTCTGCATTTTGATCTTTACGATTTGTAAACAGCTAGTAAACACATTAAATTCAGATGAATCCTTAAAAATCCGGATAAAAACTTTGAGATATAAGAAAAGGTAAAGGAATACGTAATCAAAGTTCATCGAATTACGTATTTCGCGTGTAATATCAACGGAAAGTATTACATACTTTTTAATTTTTTTTTACTGTAATATCTGCAGTATATAGTATATGCTGCCATTTTTATTATAATATTAATATTCATTTGGTTTTGTATTATTAATATGAAACCAAAACTAAACTCGATTGGGCATTGTGACATGGCCACGAGAAACAGTAATTGCACCTCCGTTCATTCGCGTCACAAGCGAAACAATAGTATGACGATATGCCTCAGAATTTATGATATAAATTAGTGACGGTTTAAAGCTAATACGCATTTTGAAAAGACAGATATTCATGATCCCGCGTATATAAGACTATAACACTTATATTATCAGATTACTTTAGACAAAAAAAAAAGAAAAGAAATAAGATAAATGTATAACTAGAAATTTAAATCGTCGACTAATATTACAGTAATTCCGGACATGATACAACATTGGATTATTTTCTATCACCACGTTACATTGTATCTATTAATAACGCGGTGATAGTTTGTTTGTAATCTATTGTAGTAACCTTGAGGTAAATTTTTTATACGTTTGATCGACCAAAATTATTCGAGATCTAGACTTTAATGCTCTAATGCTCGGACGAATATCCCTAGGAGCGAAAAATATTTGGCCATCACTGTGTTGAATTGAAACGGTCAGTTTACATTTCTACACGCTATTATAGACACGCGATCATAGATGTTTCTCTGTCCATAGCCTAATAAGATTACGATAAGTACTTACTTGTTGTCTATAAATGAATTGACTTATAATCATGTGATTGGAAATACAGTATATGGTAATTTTACTGATTTGGAACTCAAATAGCAATTCAAAAAACAAAGCAAATAATACTATACACGTAAAATCTTATTTGGCTTATGGATAAAGTCACGATCAATGTTGCACGAGCAAATAAATGATTCGTGTTTCTCCACTATCGCGTGCTTAACGTGAAAATGAGAAACGAATAATGAAAGTGAAATTGGCTTCTAATCATTAATAACCACGGATGATACGTAGGATGTTGTTCGTTGTGAAACACTATAAAATACTTTATGGAAAACGTGTAAATGACATGACACTTTTTGAAAATTGAGATTCAATACTCGTTGGATCGTTCCTTATTCTAACTGGGGCAGTGTTCTATGCCTATTGTTGGATTGCTGTGTTATTTCCCGATGCAGGTGAAGCTTAACGACACACTCGCCGACGATCTGTAGTATTACAGTATAGCTTTCAAAATTTAACTGTGCGTCAAAATATCGAATTATTTGGAATAATCGGACAAACTAAAGATCTTATAGTTGGGTGTTGCATTGCTTATTAACCATACGATTACGTTGACAATATTTGTGCTGTTTCGCTTTCGTTCCATGCATAATTTCTCGAAAATAAATCTGAATCAAATGAAAGTGATACAAATATGATGCACGGTTATTTCGTATATGGAAAATTAAGAATTCTAGAATTGTTAGTATACATAAAAGGACCAAACAAAAATTACCATTTTCAATATCCATTGAGCGATTGCTCACAACCGGGGTGGCTTTACTCAATGAAATTAGATGCTAAGCCCGCGAATTTGCACCAAATCTTGTATTACACGATCTATTGTTGCTTGATTCTAATTACTACATGTATTCAAAGTACTGTACTGTATAATATTGTATCTTAATACTTTGAAATTCTTAATAGAATGACGAAATAATATCTTTAATTCATAAAAGAAAAGGTACGCATCATAAATGATTACAAGTGTAACAAATACAGTATCTCATTCCGCTTTCTTTCTTTCTTTTTTATACTGTATTCATTTTTAAAAATTAGAAATTATTCACAGAAATACCAAATTATTGTCTAAACGATCGAGGAACGCGATTAAAAACAGCATACAAACGCAAGTTCAATTATTTTTTATTACCGTATTTTATATTTGATATATTTGATATAGGTTAATTATAGGATGCGAAATCAGTTATTATTAAAGATCTTTTGAATAATAAGTAAATGTGAAGAATGCTCAACATACAGTATATCGCGCTAGACTTTACTACGCGAGGTATACAGCATCTCTAAATAAGCGTAAGCCTTCATGCGCCAAAAAATGGAAATTCTGGATCTTAATTAATTTGATTCTTTTGCACAATAACCGATGGCCACCAACGAGTCTGGTTTTCCGTAGAAAGCCATTCTCATTACACGTAATGCTAAAATAAATTAAATTTTTTCAGTAATCTGATAGAAAAAATATCTCTTTAATTAGAAATATACGAGAATTATGTAACCGGAAGGAGGTTCGTTAAAAAAAATGCTAGTGACTCTACTGAATAATGCCGCCTGTCCGGCTTGACCATTCATTATATGAAGAAAACTTTGGTAAAACCAACTAGTATATAAAGGATCGTTTTTTCTCCTTCATCTCACCACTAATAAATTCGAGCAAAGAAAACAAAAAAATCAATCAAACCATCAATCATGAAATTCACTCAAATCTTCTCTCCTCTCTTCTTCTTCACTTTATTAAGCGTGATGGTCACTGCCGAAGCCAACCCCGATTACTAGTATGTTTATAATTAATTTTCAATAATTCTTTATTTATCTTTTTAATTCATCATATTTGCGTTTTAAAAAATTAGCAAATACTACTACAAAACCGTGATAAATATAGTCACTGACACTATAACCAAAACCAAAACCATTGAAAAACCTCATTACTAAAACAAGGCATCAATAATTTGCGATCTTAATGATTATAGTATTTTAAATTAGTATTTATAGTTAATTTAATAAATGGTCATTTATTCTTAAAATTCTTTATTTATATGGCAATTGAAAATTGTGATCAAAAAATTTTTGCAAGAATAAAATTTAAATTTGGTAAATTATGGTTTTGAATATTAATTAAAATCAGAGAAATTATTTAACTGAAAGTAAAGACAGGAAGTTTTTTCGTTATAAAACATTTTTAAATTAATTTTAAACATACTAGTAATCGGGGTTGGCTTCGGCAGTGACCATCACGCTTAATAAAGTGAAGAAGAAAACATACTTAAATGTTGTATACTTGTGAAATCTAAATTAAACTATTATTACTACCAACAACTTGTTCTAAACTGAAATCTCTAAATTTGATTATAGAAGCGATACGACATTTAATAGGCACTTTGAATAAAGACATCCCTAATACTCACTTAATTACTAGTCAATTTTCAAGGTCAATTATTCTTCATTTTAACAAATAAAATAAGAAATTAATTGGAAGAAAAGGAAAAAAGAAAAAATATATACTGTAAATTATATATTTACTTCTGTATAAAAAAAAAAATAATACAAAGTTTCAGTATTTTTAAAAGACTTAATAATACTCTTGAAAATTTTTTTTTATTAATATTCTTATTAAAATATTTTATATTATTCTAATAATTTAAAAATTTTTATTTATTTTTGATTTTGATTTTTTTTATACTATCTAAAAAGATTATTGTTTTTATTTTTTTATAACCCTCTATTAGACTAGTTATATATACTTTATTAAACAATTGTAAACTATACATTAAAATATGAATCACTAAAACTAAAAACTCTAACTAGTTCACTTATTTTTATAATTATTAATCAAAATGCAACTTTGAAAGTAATTTGTTACTCTATTAAGAATATAAGTAAAAATCCTTTCTACTCTTAATATTATTACCTACAGATTACTATTGCAAATCACTTTTTCAAGTTTGAATAGAATTCAAACCCAATTATTTTATTTCAAACTTAACTATTTTTGATAAATATTCTTCAAACCTTGATCTTCTAGTCTTATTTCTCCTGGTAGTAGAACTCTTCTTCCTAATAATATGGTTTTATAATCTTGGAAGTTAATAGATTTTTTATCTTTTCAT